CTCATTATGAGAAAATACATCACAGCATTTCTTTCTTAGAAGAGACAGAAGACTTTTTCTTCCCTGTGAATAATTCACAAAAAGCCTACATCACTGCATCTGACTTCAAAAGAACAGAAACTGACTCTTTATGACAGGGATATATGAACTGGGTAAATGCCCAAGCCATTGCTCAAAGCATGCCTGTAGGGGTATCACCAATTTTTTCTAGACAGGCACACTAAGCTGAAGCAATGACTTTTCTGTTTTTCCTAGTTAAACTCAATGGAGTTTAAGTCAAAGTCAAAAGAAAAACTAGTATTTGTATTCCTTATGCATTAGAGTTATCTTTCTTTGTTAGTGGATAAGTATAGATTCTAGTGCCATAGGCTGTTGTTATATGAAATATTTACAATAAATTTTTAAAAGGAATCCTGAAAGACTAAGAAAAACAAAAAACATGTTTACTAATTAGCAGTAAATTATAGTTCTGCTATCTTGAATCCCAAAGCATGAGACACTACAACCTGCATCACATAATCAGATCTTTCCATTGGAAAACACATCACTTCAGAGAGCTCCTTTGAGCACGGGTTCATCTTTGCACTAAAAGCACATTATTCAAAGGGTCCCACACTGAGGATCTTATGACAACTTCTGCAGTGCACTTCCATGTCATATTTTGCTCCCTCTTCTAGCCTCGGTCTTCTTACTCTGCTCCTTGGCAAAATGCCTGATCTGTGTTCTGCATGAAATACAGTGTACAAGCAGTAACTTAAAAAATCAGTACGACATTCACTACTGTACGATGTAGTAAGTCTTTTCACCCTGCTGAGGTGGCTTGACAGTTATCAACTCTCACGTTACTATTTGTAAACTAGGTTTTTTGTTAAATAATTATTATACTTTACTGATTTTTTTGCCTTTTTAAAGTTTTTATGTTAAGTAAAAGTATACCTGAAAATGAGACAGAGTTAAAAAAAAAGTAAATAGCTACATCTGTGATTTAAAATACAAAGCCTACAAATAGAATCTAAATTTACAGCAATTTGGTACATAAAGAAAGAATCGCACATTAATTTAAAACCACAGAAGCACTGTTTCAGCCAATAAAGTGGCAAAATATTTTTATCTTCTCAGATCCTATTTCCTGTATGTTCAGACTAGATATAGGAACCTGTTTCCTATATGTTTCCATACAAATCTAGTGATCTTGTCAACTCTTCTAAAACTATTCTTTGGATGTATTTTGAAGAAAGACAAGTCTATGTTTTCCCCATGGATGAAGAACCAAAAGGATTTCTTCCCCTTCCCCCCAGTCTCCTGTTTACCAAGCTGCTGTCTGAAGTTATAATAGAGTATGCTGACATTTTGTCATATTCCTAATCCACATCAACCCCCTGAACCCTCCTGGAAAGCTTTATTTCCGCCTACCTTGGAATGGATAGCTTTTCCGAAGAAAAAAGTAATTGCAAAAAAGGTAATACAATTAGTCAGTGAGTAATACAGCAATCATTTGCCCTAATCAAGTATTCCCTTTAAAAAACACCAACATATTATACTCTCTCAATTATCATTACTCATTTATCAGTAACCACTACGATAAATCATACATAGGTCATGCTAAGTAGTAAGTGCTATAGTTAATCTATATTACTGAACTGAAACTAATAATGTCAGTTGCTATCATGTTAGCAACATAACATTAACTTGAACTACTGCAGAATTTTGCTGTGTACTCATCAACTGAACAGGTGGAAATATTCACGTTCAATCTTTTAAAGTTTTGACAGAATAGAAAATCATAATGTATTTGAAATTAAAACTAGAGCAAGCTTTTGTTTCAAAGATCAGCTTTTTTGAACACTAAGTATAAAAGTGTTAGAATATATTAAGCTTAGACGATTGGCACAATTAATATACCTGGGAGGAAAGAGAATCCAGAAAAGCTGTGATTCACTTAAGCCACAATGACTGCACTGGAGATGCAGAGAAGAATGAAAATGCAGAAGAATGAAAAACAAGTAGTCTTATGCTACGTGTAAATATACTTACATTGAAGCTGAAGTAATTTTGTTAATTCAAGGAACATTTGCTGAAAACATTTGCTTTTTCTTACTGGATTACTAAATTTGTTATTCTGTTTCAATCAAAATGTATCATCATTTGAAGGCACTTCTCTGCTTTTAAGATATCACTTTTTAGACTGATTAATCAAGCAAAATGTCAATTTTATAAAATAAGAATATAAGGAAAGGATTAATACTCTTTTCCATCACTTATTTCTCCACCGTTCCCTCTCTCCCATTCTATAAAACTCTTCATAAAGAGATGACAATTACTTAAAGGAAGAAACAAAGCTGTTCTTTATTATAATGCAAAAATTTCCAAATATAACTAGAATTTCAACCAATTCACTAAAAAAAAAAAAAAAAGGAAGAAAGACACACACTTGAGCAAATCTTTGGCTCCCTTGTCAGAGAGAAATGCGTGCAACAGCGATCAGCACAAGTTTTCAGATACAGCTCATCAATCAAATTAAGCAAATCTCAGCAGGCACAGAAAAAAAAAGAGATGCTGCTGCCTACTATCTTGCTATTTCCCCTTTCTGCTCCCATCTGCTGTTGTACCACTACTATGTAAATAAATCACTTTATCCTTATAGGCAGCTGCTGAAGCAAAGACTATGAGTATTACGAATATGCTCTTACGCTCTACCTCAGTTTCACCTGACTCCACATGGTCTTCCATGCTTTTCTGCAGCCAACTACCACTTGCTTCAATCAAAAACTGAATTCTCAGGTCTTGGATCTCAGCTAGGGCACCAGCCTGGGTGGTTTTTCCTGGAAAACAGAGCTTTGTCCGCAGACCACTTACACTGAAGATTCTCAGTGGCTTCAAAACATTTTGAAATAAAGCTCAAGATCCATATATGAGTTCCTGAAGGCACAGCTGTGGCAAGAATAACATACATACGAAACGTAGTTGTGGAAGAGGAGATCATGGGAAGGATATGAAAATAAATAGCATACCTATCTCCACCTAATTATGTGCAATGCTTCCCTCAATAAGAAATCTCAGCAATGAAAGTATTATAAACAAGAATTCTCATTCTTCACATTTAAGTTAAAACTGGATAAATGCCCCATTTAAGAAAGGATTAAAATGCTTATGTGCTTTCATCTTTCTTCGACCTTATACAGAAACATTTAAAATCCCAAGATACAGATTTTAGGAGAGGGCAGAAGGGAAAGAGATATTTCACAGCATTGCCACTACAGAAAAACTAGAAACAGATGGATCTTATATATTGGTTTGAAGTGGCCACATTGATTATGAACTCGTTGCATGATTAACTGCCTGACTTGCACATTTTAGAAGGAAAAATATGGTTAGTATATCTTTCTGCCAGACTTGTTAAAATGGCTTAAAATTTGTTTTTTTAATGAAATGCAAGCAAACATTACTAAAGCATTTCTGTGGCACACCAACCTGCCTCATCACACATTCCAATCTGTTTTATTGTGTTAGGATAAGAAAATACAGCAGCTCCAGCCAGAACCACATTCTTCTCAGCACACTCCTATTTTCATCAAGCTGTGAAGACGCTTTCAAAGTCAGATCCTCCTGAAACTGTATCATTAGACATCCAGTCTTTGACATATTCACGCTTTGCACTTACCTTATAAAATGGTATTATATGTTTTGCACAGATATCCCAACTCAAAGACAATAGAATGCTATGATAAATAATGAATTATTGTCTATGATTCGTTATTTCAAAGTGTGCTAGCATACACAATTAAATAAAGTAATTAAAATTACTTACATATTTCCTAAATTCAATGCATACAGTGACCCCTACTGGTCTGCTAGACACCCCCTCAAAGACACCAAGTGACAAAACCCATCAATCCCTCCAAGAAGTGTACCCGAGCTAGCTTACAAGGACAATCCTCAGATAAAAAGCATCTATACCTTATTCAAGTTACAGAATGACTAATACTATTAACTCCATAGAGGCAAAAATACTCCAGTGCTTCTTATGGACTTTTAAACATACACTCTTATTATTATTCTAAATAAAATAATCAAATAAATGGATTGTAAAGAATACCATATACCAGTATCTATAGCCAAAAGCCACATCATCATGAAGAGTTTCAACTTTTTTCCAAAAATTTTCTTAGAAAAAAACAGGAGAAACAAACTTCAGTCAACTCGAGGTTTCAAATGACAAAAATGTATACTTCCTGTACTTTCCCAATTAAACATGAATAGCAATTATGACAATAAGACCCCATGAATCAGACTGTGCTTGCTACTGTTTTATACATAGAAAATAAGGTCACAGAAGTATCTAGTTATTTGACTAAATACTTTCTGCTTTAATATACAACTAAATAATAAGCTAGGTAACCAATAATGTGCTGTGCAATACACATACTTTATCACCTAATGCACTATTTTATTAATTTAAGCAATTCATGTTGTAGGAGAATCAGTTCAAGATCTTAACACTGAGTACTCACAGTTTAATAAGATTACAGTGTTTATCAGAAGTGCTAAATGTTCTATGATTTTTTATAATATATGTATATATTAGATATATATACACACATTTATGTATGAAATCAGTATCCAACTAGGATCAACAACAACTAGACAAGAAAGCAGCTTAGCCAAGTGTGAATTCCAAATGCATTTCTTTCCCCACTGGGCTTTTAAATTACACACACGTGATTACAACATAAAATGTGTGGGAGATTGATGAAACAAAATAAACATTTGCCTCTGACTCCATTTCAGCCAGGATTAATTCCAAGAATCTAGCAAAAGAAGTGTTATTTCCCATTCCTGAAGGAAACCTTTGCTTGGAAAGCTTAAGTAATAGAAATAGGAATCTACTCCCTCTGCTTCAGAATCCCTGCAAATTAAAAGGAAGAGAATACTGTGATGACTGCAAGTTTCCACTGCATCTAAACCAAGTCAGTCCAGTGTTGCTCAATACGTGCTCATACCAGGAACTTACATAAAACATCCTCATCCCAGTTGCTCAGTAGTTGGAACCCAGAGACAGAACCTGAAGGCTTCCAAGTGGTCACCAGCAGGCTGGCCTGCATTCTGCTTCTTACTTCTGACCACTAGTTATGGTTGCTGGAGCAAACAATTACAGCAAAAAGATATTCTTAAAATGCACTGAACCAGTTCTAACTTAGCACACAAAATCCCTAGAGACTTCAACAGGAGCTCAACATTTTCTAGAGCTTTTATTTTTGGGAGCCATATTTAAATATTTACAATGTTAGACAAAGAAGAATAAAAGAAAAAAAAAAAGAGAAAGAACAGTGACATGCTATAAAACATTTAAGAAGACTGCAAGTCTATTTTGCTGTAGCTTTTTTTCTTCCAAAACTATGCAGTGAACTTCACTATTGTTTTCACTGAAATACTAAGTACTACAACATCCACTGTAGATGTATAAATTTAGATAATTTTATGTCTAAAAAAAATACAAAAAAAAGAACACTGAAGTTAAAAGTCAAGCACCCCAAAGACAGCAAATTCAAGAAATACTACTGTGCATGTATAACTTAATCAACCCCTTCAGTCTTAATGCCTCAAGACATAATTAAAAACTTATTTCTTAAGATCTTAGCACTATTCAGTGAGTAAGTGTTCAATCATTACTGTGGTGGGTCTTGCACAAGATGGCTTCTAACACTGTACTGAAGCAGACACCAATCTGAGTAGTGCAGTTCATTCACTAGAGGGAAAGGACGCCATTCAGAGGGACTTTAACAGGCTTGAGGACTGGGCCTATGTAATAAATTTTAACATCATAAATTCCAACAAAGTCCAAGTGCAAGGTCCTGTATCTGGGTCAGGCCCATCCCCACCACCAATACAGACTGGGGTATAAAGGGACTGAGAGCAGTGATGTGGAGAAGGATTTGGCAGTACTGGTGGATGAAAAGCTCAACATGAGCGGGCAATGTGCACTTGCAGTCCAGAAAGCAATCATACCCTGGACTGCATCAAAAGAACCGTAGCCAGCAATCAAGGGAGGAGATTGCACCCCTCCACTTTGCTCTGGTAAGACCCCACCTGGAGGATGGCATCCAACTTCAGTGCCCTCAGCACAGGAAAGACATGGAGCTGTTGGAGCAGGATCAGAGGAGGGCCACAAAAATGGTCAGAGGAATGGGACACCTCTGTTATGAGGAAAGGCTGAGAGAGCTGGCGCTGCTGCTCAGCCTGGGGAAGAGAAGGTTACAGGGAGATCTTATTGCAGCCTTTCAATACTTAAAGGGGGCTTTATAGGAAAAATTGAGAGAGACTTTTTGCAAAGTCCTGTTGTGACAGGACAAGGGGCAACAGTTTTAAAGTGAAAGATGGGAGATTTAGTTAGGACATAAGGAAGAATTCTGTATTTTTTTTCTTTCTTTTTTTTTACATTGAACATGGTGAGTGAGACACTGAAACAGGTCACCCAGAGAACTTAACAGATACACCATTACTGGAAGTGCCAAAGGTGAGATTGGAACTGATCAGCAACCCAACCTATTGGAACATGTCCCTGCCCATGTTAGAGGTTGGACTAGATGATTTTTAAAGGTTCCTTCCAACCCAAACCATTCTATGATTCTACGAAAGGGGACTTTCTTATGTTTCCACGCTGTCCACACCAAAAGAAGGGCTCTAAACCTATTAGAAACCCTGATTCCCAATCTGTGATAAGAGGAAGTAACACAGTGCCAAAGCTGTTGCCAAGCTAGCATCAGTTCCAAATGGCTACAGATGCACTACTACATTAGTAGGCTGCTCTGATCAAACCACAGCTTTTTATCTGCATTACTTTCAAATCCCTGATCTCTGTACAGCAGTGCAAAGCCACATTGTGACTGCATGGGTGTAAGAACACATGTGGCTGACTGGGGGATTTCCACTCCGCTCCTTCTCAAGAGTATTCTCTCAGGGTACCTTGACTTTTCTCACCCAATCCCCACCCCACCCCCACTGGCCACTCCACGCACACACTGAACACTCAGGATAAAACCACCCAATGGAATGTCAGTAATCAAAGTTGTATCTTCTGTCTCCAGTGCTTGAGTGATCTGGCATTGAGGCCTCCAAAAGGCTGACAATATATGTCAGCCATCACATGGGTTACCTGGCTACTAACTTGTGTTCCCCAGGTAATGTAAATTCCAGAGAATAGTAAATTGATCCCCAATGCTCTTCTGCAAGTCTACTCATGATTTGTAAATGGAATATTCTTTCACCATCTATAAACTGCTGCAATGCAGGTGGTAAAAATGGGTTTGTAACTGGGGAATGCATGAATGTTGACTCATGCTGCCTACTTACCACAATGCCCATCATAACCTGACACTGCTACCTTAAAAAAAAACAAAACTCACCATGCCTGAGCCATGAGGTTAAGAACTTTTTACTGTAATCATATTCCTTGTTAGAGACCATGATTCTTGCATACTAGTGATTCTTAAATTGTATACCTTCAAACATCCTGTTAATGACAACAGTGAAATACAACTGGTTTATATTTAGTGTTTGGGACAGAGGCACATTACCATACTGCTGCACATCCAGTATTTTGCACCAAGCCTTCTGTTTTAAGGTATTATCCTTGCATAAGCTGCAGAAGATTCTTTGATCACTATCTTGGTGTTAAGGACAAAAAGCTACATCTAAACATGAACAACAAAGGAGTTACATCAAGAATCAAGTGAAGCTAAATCATCTGTGGATGTCTCTAAGAGAAGCAAGAGGACAACAGTAGCAGGTGGTAGAGCACTGCTATATTGTCTTACTCTACCTGTAACTTCTGGCAAAGTACATGGTCTCTGAAGGCACACGGGAACAAGCACACAAGAACTTAAGAGTCATCACACAATGCCTCTTGCATCAGAGACAAGGTTTGCATTATCAGTGAACATGCAAGAAAACATCAGGAAAAGGAGATGATGCTGATTTTTGAGCACTAAAGCACACATTGACAAGCAGTAGCTCATCCCACAAAGTTAAAAATACATGCTTGACTAATTCATTAATTCAAGATCAGGTGACACCTACAGTAAGTTCTGCAAATAAAGGTATATAACAATGGTTGCCCTACAAATGTCCCTGAAATTCTTTTAAAAAACACAATTCTTTGATCAGCTCTGGAAAATATTTGGGAGTAAGCGGCACAGATTGCTGTGTTTTTGTTCTGTTATCTCAGTCATTAGCAAACCTGAAGATCCTTCTAGCTTTACAAACTTGTACAGTTTACCTTCATGCCTCCTCACATGTGACAGGATTGAGGCAGAAGATGCCTGTGCTCTTCAGGTGTTAACTGTGGGAAGGGCTCCTGCATGGCTTTCCCCTCCTACAAAAATGTCTCTTTTTTTAACAGACAGATGAGGACAACAGGCTTGATTTACACTGGAGACCCAAATCTGTGATAAGGACTCCTGTTACTCTTGTGCTGCTTTCTGCTTCACAACTAAGCCACCGATCTAGTCACCCCTTAATAAGCTACCCATCTAGCAATTTAAACATTTAGAATGCTTTCATTTTATGGCAGACGTTAAACAGGAAAAGGTGTACTGAGGTAAGAGTGGCACTGAATTTTTGCAGTTTCTTGAGTAGTTTATAGAGCTATGTACATTTACAGTGACAGAAACAAATATAGGTGGTCCAATTCTGAAGTACTAAACAAGATGCATACTGAACACAAATGCTTTATTAAATAATATTTGCAATGTTTAAAAAAGGGGGAGAAAATCTGATGTGGCAAGTCTGCTCCAAGTACAGTTGTTACTTCAAAATTGAAAGCCGGGAGTAGAAAAAAATTACCTCCTCCCAGGAAGACCATGCCAAAGGCTCTCTTGAGCAAACTAACAGAAGATGCTTCTTCTGCATACAGAAGCTCATGATTGTTTCAGTAACTGTTCCACTGTGAGATACTCCTACCATTCCCTGGAAAAGAGAAAAGGAGCGAGCTACTTTGGGTAAGTTCTCTAGGGGTTTAGAAAGCCATTTTTGAAATAATGCAAAGGACAATTGCCAAGTATCAAGGGAGGCTCACAAAAAGAAGCTTGGGAAAGACTTTGCTGGGAGATGTCTATATGAGCTTCAGAACGTCCACACAATTTGCTTACACGGGTTTTCTGCATATTATCTTCCAGTTCTGAAAGACCTCATGTCTATTTTGGCTCTGTATTTCTGGGAGTTCAGCTCACCCTGCTGCCTCTAGCCAGGAGTAACTATACTTTTTACCCTTGACAGAAACATCTAAGCCTCATACAGATGAAGCTTCCAAAGCCTACTCCTGAAGCATGTTCTGGTGCTGCAGAATCTTTATTATTTGGCACCACTTTGTAATTACTTTTTTTTATTTCTGGTGGATAGGACAGGAATTGCACAGCACAGGAGCGCAGCATCTCCAGTCCACAGACTGATTGCCTCCTTTCTTTTTTCAACAGCCTTTCCTCTTACTGAGATTGTTATGAAGTTCCTGCTCAATGTTTTCTTTTTGACCTAAACCACCCCTGGTTTATTTCATTCTTCACAGTGATCAAAGACCCAGAAAGCAGTGTAACACAGCATATTTCCTCCTACAGTGCCTTTGCCTGTGGACACTCTTTCCCATAGACTCACATATTTCTTAGAGTTCAGTATCTAAAATTGGATATGGTAGTCCATACTTAGTATACAGTAGTCCATGCTTAGTATATAGTTCTCAGTACCATTGGGGTTTTTTATATGCATCCTTTGAAACTCTAACATGCAATTGCTTTTTCTGAAACAGCATGATGTCAGTGACATGGCCCTCTTGCAATGCACAATGAACCCCACATTCTTTTAGGAATATCTGTTACCTAATCTGTTGGACCTTACTCTGTGCTGCTGATTATTTTTGATAAATACAGCACTTGATACCCAGTTCCTATTGAATTAGCTCCCATCTTCCTTTCTTAAGAAATCTTCCCAATTCACCAAAATTATTTTTAATTCTATTCTTGTTCTCCAACGTGCTCACAGTCACTTCCACCTTGGTGTTGACAGCAAATTTAAATAAGGACACTCTATCATCTGGGTCATTAAAACATTAACTCATACAAGATCTCAACCAGGCTGCTCTGCAGTAC